CACATGCACCCAAATATATACGTGTAGAGCCAAATGTATATCCAAATATATACACACATGTAAAAGTATATTCACATGTATCCAAATATATACATTTATAGCCAAATATATACATATGTAGCCCAATATATACAGGGTGGGGCAAAAATACATTTACAGTTGTTTGTATGAAAAATAATGCAATAATTAATAGGTACTAATACGAGAATAAACTCAGCTTTGCATACTCACAGCTGTGAACCTTTTTTCGCCCCGCCCTGTACACATTGCCATGTATACAAGCACACATCCAAATACAAACACACATATCCAAATATATACATATATCCAAATATACACAGACATGGACACATATAGTTTTACTTTCCATCTTGGAATAATTATAAGCACACAGGAAGTTACAAACATAGCACTGAGAAGTCCCCATCCCTGGTGAGTGAGCCCAGGAGCCAGCCACCCAGCCCAAAGGAGCATCGTAGTGAACTATAGCGTTCACTGTCAGCACCAGAAGCGGCCGTTGGGACGACGCGACCACCTGGTCCACAGGCCTCGCTGAGGACACCCCCTCCCACCCCCCACCCCCCCGTTTTCCGTGCACTCACCATTCCTTCTTGGAAGACTGCAGTGCTCTCCTGCCTCCCCCAGGGACGGCGGGGAAGGCATTTGTCCTAATCAGGTGGAGAAGGACAATGTCGGGGGGAGGACAATGTGGTTCCTCCGTGGGATTTATGCACAGAGGGTCGGACCTCAGCCCGGATCTCTGGCGAGTCCCAGTGCCGACTCAGGAGTTCAGCTTCTCCCCTAACATTTTCCTGAAGCTTAGGACACGCCCGATGAGGAGATGTCCAATGAAGACTGCCTGTTTTTCAAAAACGAATGTCTCCATTTCCGCAAGCAGCACTCGGTTAAGAAAATGACCCCCTGCTGAGCAGCGACCTCGTCACCCGTCACCCCGTCTGACTGAGCGGCCGGCTATGGGCGAGGGCTTTAGGGAGCTGAGGGCTGATAGGCATGGCATCCCAGGGCCCAGGGCCTGTGAAACAAAGGCCAGCAAACGCGAGGGGAAGGTGGAGGGAAGGGAAAGCCGCCTTCAGGGTAACGAGACCGTATTTCCCTGGTGATGCGCTAATAAGCGAACACAGTGAAAGCCGCCTGCAGAGGGGCCCCACGGGCAAAGGGAACCCCGCCAGGAACCCGCAGCCGTGAAGACAGACTCTGCTTGCGCCCCGGACAGGTAACTCTTCGCTGCTTTCGTTTTCCAATGACGTGGTCTTGTTGGGCAGATTCAGAAACGTTCACGCTCAAGAATGAGCCAGAGAACGATGGTTTCCAGGCGGCAGACGCTGGGGTGGGAGGAAGGTGCCAGGGCGGTGGGGCGGGGATGGTGGCAGGTCCAGGGGTCAGGCCGGCAGCACAGTCCACGCCCTGTGAGAGCAGCTTCCCCGTCAGGGCGCAGGGGCCTGAAGGGGGCGCTGCACCTCACACTCTGGAGACCTGGACCTCTCTTTGGGTGCACGACTTTCCCATGTTACAGGGACTTGCAAGGACCTCCCCCTGTAATGCTGGAGGGAGGGAAAGAAAACCTGAGTGGGTCTGGGGTGCGGGCCCCATGCTGGGCAGAGTGAAGGAAATGAGATTCGTCTTCCATCTCATTTTACTGTGCTCTCCCCGGCCACGGTCTCCGCGATCCTCCATACAAACCCTCGGAGGCCGGGAGGGCAGAGACGGGGAGGTGCACCTGTTATATAATCCCACTGGGGGGCCCATACACACTTAATGAATTGAACTCAGAAAGAATACCCATCTCAGCATTGATTCAGCCTGCTGTCGTATACAGAGGTGATCTCTCTCTTTCTTCAGTTTCCGCCATTCTTTCCAGTAGAAAATAACATATTTTGAGTTAATCGTCTTTACTGCCTTGGGCAAAACCACTACCCATCACCCCCGAGAGTGCCCACGTAGGGCCCGGGCGGCATGGCTGAGTGATTGAGCGTTGACAGTCAGGGCACATGCCCAGGTTGCAGGCTCGATCCCCAGTGTGGGGCGTGCAGGAGGCAGCCAATCCATGATTCTTTCTCATCATTGATGATTCTCTCTCTCCCTCTCCCTTCCTCTCTGAAATCAATAACAATAAAAAAATAAAAAAGAGTGCCCACCTAGGGTGCCTATGCACCGTCCAGAATGGTTCATTGCTCTGTGCCTACCCTGCACCCACCTCGTCTCTGCCGGAGGGACCCCCCTCTTCGCCCGCCTCCCCGCACCCTGCAGACCTGGCCGGCACAGTGCAAGCTCTGCTCCGTGTGCCTGAGCTCTCATGACCCGATCTGTGAGGAAGATGACGAAGTCGCCACAGGAGGGCAGCCTCATTTACACAAAGGACATCTGTAGAATCAAGTGTATTCTAGAAGCTTCCGGGAGGCAAGGGGGCAAAAGGCACACCACCACTGCCCACATGAAAAGACAAGGGCATTTGTGTGGGTGTAGAATTCTGATGACATTGTTCCTGACCTGCCTTCTCCACGAGGCGGTAGTGAAACAGTTCAAATGGAAATAAATGCCCCCCCACCCCCCGTACTTTCTCAAACACACCAACGGAGCCCCCGAAGGACACTTCTGATATTCTAAGGATGAAGTTTGTCCTGCACTGACTTCGAAGCTCGCTTCCGCCTGTGGCCCTTTAATAAATGGGGCCCCGGGGGAAGGAGGGGGAGTGGGAGGTGAGAAGAAAGGCTGGGGTGGAGCAGAAAATCAGGAAGCGCCCCTAGGTCACCGGGCCCCTCACAGCCGTCACCTCCTGGCTCCCAGCACGTTTTGTTCCTGCAACGATTACCCCGTGAGGTGCAGATGCGGGGCCTTGGTACAGCCCCTCTCAATCCAGGGTCCCGTGTCTGCGCATCCCGGGGCAATTTACAGAGAGGAATTGCGTCGCCCGGAGAAAGCAGTTCTTGTTCTTACTCCACATTTAAAATGGGGTCAATTTAGCTGATTTTGGGGGCACTGACATAGGAATTTTGAAGCATGTTCTTCCTTACTCATGCTAGCCCCAAGCTGGGGAACTCACAATTAAAACAAGACAGGCTTTTCTTAAAAGTATTGTTATTGATTTCAGAGAGGAAGGGAGAGGGAGAGAGAGAAACATCAATGATGAGAGAGAATCATTGATCGGCTGCCTCCTGCATGCCCCCTACTGGGGATTGAGCCCACAACCCAGACATGTGCCCTTGACTGGAATCGAACCCGGGACCCTTCAGTCTGCAGATTGACACTCTATCCACTGAGCCAAACCAGCTAGGACTATAAGCATCTTTTAGAGAGGAAAAACAAAAAAAGACTCCATGAAACAGAAGTCATATAAAATAGTCTTATGTGCCATGTTATAAGATAGTAACACTAAGTGTAGTAGAATTTTACATATACAGAAAAACTTAATATTGGCTTGAGCAATGGGAGATGTCATGGAGGAGATAAGACTTGAAGTGGACCTTGAAGAAAGTCAGGGCTTACAGAGAGAGAAAATCCCAAAAGAGAGCTAACCCATTAGCATCAAAATCATAGTGTGTAAATCATATTGTGTAAATCAAAATAATTTTCTGCTATAATGTGATCATTGGTTCTTAAAGAAGCCTTGTGTATTCACAAATATTTGATAAAATTTTGATTTCAATTGGGTGGTTGGGCAAAAGGAGGTTAGGAACTAGAGAATTTCAGCAGTCCATTTATTTTTCCTGCAGGAAATTCAATTTTAAGAGTTTTATTGATGCATATTTTGCTATAACAAACTACAAAAAGTGGTTAATCAAAATTAGAAAACAATAATCTAATGTTTCAGACAATGATAGGAATAGTACTTTAAGACCAGAACAAAAATCAATGAATTTCTAGATCATTAAGAGAGAGAAACATCAATGATGAGAGAGAATCATTGATCGGCTGCCTCCTGCATGCCCCCTACTGGGGATTGAGCCCGCAACCCGGGCATGTGCCCTGACCAGGATTCGAACCGTGACCTCCTGGCTCCTAGGGCGATGCTCAACCACTGAACCAGCCGGCTGGGCAAGACAGACTCTTAAACATAACTTTGGTTCATTTCTTGAGGATGAGAATCTAATGCAGCGGTTCTCAACCTGTGGGTTGCAACCCCTTTGGCAGTCAAACCACCTTTTCACAAGGGTCGCCTAAGACCATCCTGCATATCAGATATTTACATTACGATTCATAACAGTAGCAATGAAAATAATTTTTCGTTGAAGTTATGAAGTAGCAACGAAAATAATTTTATGGTTGGGTCACAACATGAGGAACTGTATTTCAAGGGCCAGAAGGTTGAGAACCACTGATCTAATGCATTGCGACTTCATTTGGAGAAAAGATCGCTATTTTCCTAACATCATTTCTAATGCTGGAGGACACGTGCGTCTATGGGCATACAGGAATATTAATAATAAAACACCTTACCTGGCGATCTCTCCACCGGGAGGATGCTGATGACCATGCCGAGGTACGGCCGCAATCTGAGGCCTCAGAAGTCGTGTCTGAGAGCCTCACCCTTGTGAGCTGGTCCCCCTGGGGAAGTGCAAGCCCGCCCGTTAGCCTGACCGAGTGGGGAAGGGAACGATGCCACCAGCTTGAAGGTGAGTGGCACTGCGCCCACATCACTCCGCAGAGGGCCTGGCGGGGACGCTCTCAGCAGTCCGCTGTTACAGGGATTTACTGCTTTACACAAAAGAAAGAGAATGGAAGGAGAGGGAAGGAAACAGGCCAAGGGAGAGAGGATGGACGGGGCGGGAGGAACCCGGGGAGCAGAGGCGCCCGGGCCGAGGGGGCGGGACCGCTTGCGCCATTTCCCAGCATCTATTGCAGGTTCAAACATGTTGTAAGACCCTCCGTCCAGGTCATGTTTGAACCCTCGGAGCGCAGGGGCCACGGGCCTGGGAGGTAATGAGTAACTACCTGCGGTTGCCTTGTTGGTGGGGGCACTTCCGGTCCTGGAAGTCAATAACCCCTTGGGCTGGGGCCGCCCGGCTGTCCGGACTCCGCTGGCCAGTCCCAACATGGGCCGCCAGGAGCTGCTGCTTCTGCTTCTCTTGTTCCTGAGACCAGGTAAGACGGAAAGACTTTCCTCAGTTAATCACTGTTTGTTTCTTCCTGGCAATGTCCTAAAAGCAGAGAGGATGGCTTCATGAGCCACTAGTTTAATTCAGCTTTTGATTTCTGAGATTCCCAGTTTAAAATCTAAATGACTTAAGGCATTGCCTAAGATTGAGGCATTCGCCTAAGACTGAGGCATTTGTCAAGAAAAAGTGTAATTTCCCAGTAAATCCTGGGACGAAGGGGCAGAGAATAAATGAGTGATTTCTTTTATATGTAAAAGGTTGAGCTCAAATAATAGTTATTTTAGTTGAAAAAAAAATACTCCATATACATACAGCTAACAGCCCCCCAAATTGTTAGTCTCTTTGCCTGGCTCTCAGTGTGGTTAATTTAGCTCATGTGCATGAGGAGGTCAGACTCTCCTCACTCTCGAATGTAAACAGTGAACTACCCCCGACTGCATTCTGTGACCAGCCCGAAGTTGTATTTACTAGTTGCCTGTTTGCTGTGGTTTGAGTAAGGATTTCCCTACACAGACGTTTGCTTTTATGCCTGGAGGAATCGCAGGCACTGATTTGCCAAATGGTGTGTGCAGATAGCAGCATACACTCAGGGCTGGAGGGAGGCCAGGCCCATTTTTATACATACATACATACATGTGTGCGCGTGTGCATGCGTGTGTGAGTGTGTGTGCGTGTGTGTGCATTTGTATGTATGAGTGTGTGCGTGAGTGTGTGTGTGTGCGCACCTGTTAGCTGGTGCAGTAGGTAGAGTAGTAGATTCCCACACTTAGGAAAGTCATGTTACTTGCCTATTGACCGAACCCCCACACCCAGGAAGTGCAGAAAGCGGGATTTGGACCAGGGCGCTCCAAGAAGAACCTTGGTGCCCTACGCACTCCTTCAACCTGGTTTAAACTTCCTGTAAAATACCCTGAGCGTGTCCTTATAGCGCTTTATTCCTCGACCGCTTTATTGCGATACGATTCACACACAACACAATTCATGCATTAAAGCATCCAGTCCGATGGTTCCCTCTCCTGGAGCGGTGCACCCATCGCCACAGTGTTAGAGCATTTTCATTATCCCCCCAAACACCTTTAGCTGTCAC